ACAGCCCTTTATAATGGTCATTTGACCAATGGAAATACTGTGTTTCTACATAGGATGACAGGTTACAGCCTCGTAACTTTGGCAACTGTTGGTGGGCCAAATCAAATGGCTTGGCAGGCCAAATTTGGCCTGTGGGCCCCAATTTGGGCTCCTCTGCTGTAGATCAAATGATTACTTTGAGAGTTTCATTATAATCCATCAGAGATGTATAGTAATTTATATTTACATCTTTATACTTATACTATACTTTATATACAAGTATTTTAGCACAACTTTTTTATTTTGTTACATTAAAAACATAACAATTATACTTTTACTTTAGTTTATTCATTAATTTAAATACAAAGCAAATTCAGTAAACAAAAAAATACAAATGAAAAATAAAATGAAAGGCAGTAAAAGGAAGAAAAGAATCTTGTAACATCTGTGCCTTTTTCCATCAAAATAAATTCAAACAATGATAGAAAAAAATACTTTAAAATGTAACTCCTAGTTACACATTACAAATTTGAATATGACCAGAAATCATCATGAAGGAAGTTAAAAATGAGGGGTTTAATTTACTTAAAGTTAAACGGAGTTGAGTAAAATCAATTTACTCAACTGGTTTAATGGAACCAGTTTGGTTACCGGTAAGTGAATTCAATGATTCATTTATTTGTGTGTAGAAGTACATTTACTTTTATTTCCCCAATTTTTATAGTGCTTTTCTTTTTAATGAAATCAATTGTTAACAGTCATTTTCTGATAAGGTATTTTTAAGTATTTTATATACCATCCAGCGTTACATGAGATGTTTTGCTAAAAGTACAGACGTACACGCACGCACACACACTCTGGCTTTGCTTTAAGTGGCGGACAATAATGAAAACGCTTCAGTTCAGTTCTTATTTGTAACAAATGTAAATTTACACATCTATGTTTAATTAGAACCTTGTCATTAGGCCTTTCTTTTATTAGGCGTTCTATCAATAAAAGTCCGCCTTTCATTAGCAGAGCATCTTAAAGACTTGCTTTCATTAGCACCAGGTTGTAAATGCTATATATGGTTTCATTAGCAGGCTGATTTTAACGAGGAGACCCCCAGCCTGTTTACGTTGGTTTGATTCTCGGTGATCGCTGCAAAGGATAATGAAGTTTGACTGTTTGTGGGAGAGAAAGTTCGAGGTTCCTCCTCTCAAAAAAAGATGATTTGATCGTGCAGTTATTAAAGTCAATAAAACCCCGTCTGCTTACGAGTGAGGCGCAAGATCAAACATTTTCTGCAATCAAGCTGAGATATGTGAAGACATAATGATGCAGTGTGTTCTAGACGTGTACCAACTTTTGCCACTCATGACAGCAGATCCCGAGCCTGCACATACACGCCTACCTTCTTTCATCATTAACTTCAAGACCCAAAAACTGAAAGCCTCACTATGAAGCCAAGGAAGGAAGAAAAAAAAAAGATGGATATGTGCCTCTTAAATCTGTGGTTTTTCAAATATTTTTACAGCTGTCACAGCTGAATGTTTCATGAGTTTTGTAATTATGTTTCTTGGAATCTGTCGCTTTTTAGCTCGAGTAATGAATCAAAGGAAACTGACAAAAGTTTGACATTTAGAAAGGTGTGTTTACATTGAAAATAGTAATGGATAAAGTTGCTGAGATCATGATCAGTTTCAAACAGTATAAATGCTGACTCAGCTTTTTATGGTAACCATTCATCTTTTAAAACATTTAGCTGTTCAGGGTTACTTTACTATGACCTTTTTTGTGTAATATTTAAGTATTTAACTTTATTAATTCTACATAAAAATACAGACAATTTAGTGCCTTCAATGTTGTTACTTTTCTTCTTATGGTGCTTTTAGGATTTAGCCATAGTTTAAGCTTTTAGAATTTTACTAACGTTCTTTAAGCTTCTAGCAAATGTTTTGCTGACTTTATAATTTAGCTTCAGTTTAAATTGTTTTAGCCTTTAAGTACCATTTTGCTAGTTTCAACTTTTAGCTATTGTTTTGCTGGTTTACTGGTTTGGTGGCTATGTTGGTTTTAGATTTCAGCTACAGTTCTGCTGGTTTTAGCAATCAGCTACTGTTCTGCTGGCTTTAGCAATCAGCTACTGTTCTGCTGGCTTTAGCAATCAGCTACTGTTCTGCTGGTTTTAGCAATCAGCTACTGTTCTGCTGGTTTTAGCAATCAGCTACTGTTCTGGTGGTTTTAGGTCTCAGCTACTGCTGTGTTGGTTTTAGCTTTCAGCTACTGTTATGCTGGTTTTAGCTATCAGCCACTGTTATGTTGGTTTTAGCTATCAGCCACTGTTATGTTGGTTTTAGCTTTCAGCTACTGTTATGTTGGTTTTAGCTATCAGCCACTGTTGAGTTTTAGCTTTCAGCTACTCTTCTGCTGGCTTTAGCTATCAGCTACTGTTTTGTTAGTTTTAGCTTTTAGCTACTTTTCTGGTGGTTTTAGCCATCAGCTACTGTTATGTTGGTTTTAGCTTTTAGCTACTGTTATGTTGGTTGTAGGTTTTTGCTTTTTTGATAGTTTTAGCTTTCAGCTAGTGTTCTGTCAGTTTTGGATATTTGCTACTTTTCTGCTAGTCATTTGCTATTGCTATATGAGATTTAAGTCTTGTTTATCAAATATTCTACTTGTTGAAGTTTTTTGTGATTCTGCATGTTTTAACTTTGTAACTTAGTTTTAGCTCTTTTAAGTAATTTTAGCAAAAGCATTCAGCAGTCAGCATTCACACCAAATGTCCACAAAAATTGCAGTTTATGTAGTATGCAGTGTTGTTTTCCTGTTGTTGTCATAAGTGTGTGTGTGTGTGTGTGTGTGTGTGTGTGTGTGTGTGTGTGTGTGTGTGTG